AACATGCACAAAAACAAGACAGAGCAAAACCAAGCAACAACGTACAACAAAACAGCAACAACAACAAACCACTGACAAAGAACAAATTAAAACACAACAAGAAAGAAAAGCTTGGACTTTTTAGAATTCTTGTGGTTTTAAGAATAAAAATACTGTAATGCCACTACCATATACTAGATGCTTTGATGTACTGTAACTACTGTGCTATCATTATCTAGCCATTAAAAACTTACATATCAAAATAGTAAGAGGGATTCCAGAGCTGTGAAGTAGGTTAACTTCGTGATATTAAGAAAATCCATTGATGTTCTCATTAGAGAGCTAACCAGGGTAGCAAGAGGCAAATAAAAAGCAGAGTAGATCCAAATGAAAATAATGAAATAATTTCTGAAAACCCTGGAGTCAGTGAGACTGACTTTTGCAATTACTTTTGCAGGAAGAGCACGGCGACGCACTGCCCAAGCTAGCTTTCTATTAGAGCCATTTAAACCAAAGACTGCGGGGACCTGCAAGAGCCCAGGAAGAAAAGGACTGCATTTAAAAGTTCCACTGTGACAAAAAAAGATGATCTTTTATACTTCACCCATCAAAACTACATGCACATGTTGGTGAATTGGAGGAACATTTTGTTCTGTGTGTTTTTGCCACAACTAAAAAACAAAGAAACAATAATGACTCTAGTAACAATGAATAAAAGGAAGAAGAAAATGTTTTAAAATCAATTGTGGTGATGATTGTACAACTCTTCTTGATATGACTGAAATATTGAATTGTTTGATATGTGCCAATAAAACTGTTTGGGGGGGAAAAATCTATTTTGAAATTCAGAGATGGCAAGAGACTGATTTGGTTTTCCAAACAAAATTTCCAAACAAATAACCTATTATTATCTACAATAAAAGCAAATGCTTTAGAAAGTGTAAACTGGAAAGTTTTAACGCTGGTATTCAAACATATGCACAAAAATATAGATCTCAGGGAAACGAGAAGTGCATACACATGTTCTTTCTTTTTTTAAATACATGTTCAACCTTAAATAAACTCCAATAGTCTAATTGTTAAAAGTATATTTTCTCCTATGAGAAGGTCAACAAGTAGAAGAAAGCCTGTGGAGAAACAAAATGGACACTTCTCTCCTTCAAAATTCCTAACTTTTGGTAAAACATCATTTAACTATTCAAACCAAAAAAATTAGCTTTTCTTTTACCCTTTCTTCCCACTGAAGATATTTCTCTTCAGTCAGTGAGTTTATCTGATTTAGTCACATACTTGTTTTCAAGCAATTGCAGTAAAACCAGAACACTATGTACTTAAAGTATAATATTAAACAGTCAAGAAATGGAAATGCTATTTGAAGAGTGAAAGATGTAAAAGTTCATTGTGAAAACAAACAAACAAAAAATCTATGGTGTATTTCTAAAGCTGTATCAGTAATCTAAGAAGCAGAATTCATCTTTCAGGAAATACATTCAATGGGGGCAGAAGAACATCTGCTTGTTCATATAGTTGCTATCACAGGTAGAAAGAGCCCTAGTGGCTTAGCGGTTATGAGCGGGGCAGCTAAGCCCAGGGTGAGCAGTTAGTAACTACCAGGCACTTCTCTGGAGAAAGGCGGGGCTTTCTACTCCACTCCCATAGAGTTACAGCCTTGGAAACCCACAGGGGCAGCTCTACCCTGTCCCACGGAGTCGCTATGAGTCAGCATGGACTCAATGGCAGTTACTGTAGTAATTTGATCTTAAGTAGACAAAAGTGATCTTAAACACTTTTATAACACTTCAACACTAAAATAAACAGAAGAGCTTCAATCAGAGATAAATAAGATATTGCTGTTATGAACGAGATCAAGTTAGCAAAAGGTGTCAGTGTTAGTAAGCAGATATTTCACTATCATTATAACTACATTTCCTATCTCTACATTGATTTGAATAGACTGAGATTGGAAGCTCAGGTATTTCCCCCATAGTTCTTCATTCGCCCTACTTAATACATTAGAAATCATTTGTAAACAAAGTCACTTATGTCCAGCTAGTAAACATCATAACCCACTGCCACCAAGTCAATTCTGATTCTTAGGGACCCACCCTATGTAGGGCTTCTGTGGCAGATAATCTCCTGTCAAATTGTAAAGGGGTGGAGTCTAGCCTGTCAATCAGGCCATAGCCAATGAGGCCTGTGTGGGCATGACCTTCTCCTGAAGATTCAGGGACCTCAGGAATTCCTCCCTGGAGGCAGGAGATGCTCTCTACTTCATCTTCCTGCTGACAAGCCACACAGAGCTACACTAATGCAGCCAGAGGCCTGGACCTAGAGAAGCCATGTGGAGACCTATGCCAGCGATGAGATGCTTCTACCACCACTGGATCCATAAGACTTTCCACCCACTAGCCTGTGATCTTCCTGCATTCAGCATCATTGCATGGCTGCGTGAGTCTAAAAGAGAAATTTATGGACTAGTATTGACATATGGGGTAATCATGGACTTATGGACTTGATCTGGACTGGGATGTTTCCCTAATAGACAATTACACTTTTATATAAAGCTTTTTCATATATATATATATATATATAT